TAACGGTGATCAGATGTTTACCATAGTATATCACTGATTCATACCTTCTTCCCACCAACAAATGTATAAAAAATTGTAAAAACTAAAATGATTCAGCCAGTTTTGGCGGTGAATAAAGATTATTATTATTATTATTATAAAATAATTCGAGTCATTTGAATTTGTGAGAATTTCATAAAATTTTGTTAAAATTACCAAATCCATATAGCATATTCGTATAAAAATCATTGTTTACTGGTAAAAGTGGATTAAGGAGGGCTCCATTTAACATCAAACCTCTTTGAAATAAATTCTTTGATTGTGACGATATAATATGTGAAAATTTTCACATATCGACCCTATTATACGAAAGGTTAATGATAATTTCCAAATGATCGTTTTTAAATGAAATGAAAAAGTTTACCGGAAGAGTGTAACCCGATTTTTATCGCCACCAAATTGTCCAACACTCTCATTCACCCATCTCAGGACCTGTCTTTGATCTTTCATTGCCATATTAACCGAATACTCTGGCAAATTCAAAGACATCAATCCCATGATACCCATTCTGTAGTTAAACGTTACCTGAAACAATCAATTTAATTTGGGAAATCTAAAAAAAATGTGTTCTTTTCGATTCGAAACATACAACTATGACATCGTTATCTATTAAAAAGTCCGGCAACATGTATCGCGGTGTACCATAGACAAATGATCCACCATAAATATAAATTAACACCGATAGTTTTGCACTTGAATTCATTCGCACGCAATTCAATGGAACGAAAACGTCTAAAAACAAGCAATTTTCTGATCCAACTGTTATCCCTTTCTTATTTTGAAGACAATCTTCTTTATAATCAAATGCGTCAAGTGCTCCTGTCCATGGATCGTTTTTAACTGGAGCCTGAAATAAATCTCAAACCATTTAAATAAAAAATTCTCCAAACAAGTAGTTGATGACCGTGAATATCTTACTTTGAATCGAAGGTCATTGATCGGTGGCTTTGCGAATGGATTGCCTCGAAATAAGTAATACAAATTATTCTCGAACAAAGTGTAATTCTTTTTGCCACGAACAAATCCGCTCTCCAATTTGATCGTACAATATTCTACATCGTTCACATTTTTTGCTGTCACCAATGACATGAAACCCACAATAATGCACAACAAATTGATTAAGCTCAACATATTTGAATGAAATTTGTGTGTGACACTGGCACTTGAATTAAACACAACTCTTTTCTGTATTAGCGCACGCAACGAATTCATCA